CGGAGCCGAGGGTGCTCGAGTTGAGGAACACGGCGAGAGAGTGAGAAATAGAGAGAGAGAGAGAGAGAGAGAGAGTGAGCATTAAGCCTACGCAGGGTTAGGCAGGCGCGTGACGCGTGACCGATAAGCGGCGCATCGCGTGCCACCTAACTAATAGATCAGGAAGGGATAGGAGCGAGCGCCGCTGAGTCGCCGTGAGACGGTAAGCGAGAGAAAAAGTGCGTGCATGAGAGAGTGCAGTTTTTGGCAACTCTACCGGCAACAGCTTTGTCTGCGACTATAGCCAGCCCCACCTGCAAGGAGAGCCGACATCGCTTGCAGATACATCGCCTGCAGATACTAGGTCTGCGGTAACGACCAACGTTGCCTGCAGATACTTGGCCAGCGACAACAGCCAGCGTCGCTAGCAACAATCTGACCAGCAGCGACGACCGGTACTTCTTGCAGCAGCACATCGCTTGAAATTCATGACGTTGCGAGGAGCATGGGATAAAAGGTCAAGCCTTCTTTCTTTTTCTCTGTCACTCTCTCTCTCTCTCTCTCTCTCTCTCTCTCTCTCTCTCTCTCTCTCTCTCTGGTAATGGTTATAAGTGTGTGATTGAACAAAGGTAGCTAGGCGCTCACGCACCAGCTACCTAAGGTTTGCGTCTAATCGTAATTGCGTTATTGAGGTTGTAAGCGAGTGTCGGTATTGTCAAGGCATCTATTTGTTGGATAATACCTGGGGTTTCTTTTGTATTATTAATTAAGTATGTATATTCGTGTGTAAATAGTTAGAGATAGGTTTTCTTTATCTAGCGAATTTATTAAGGGAATGAGTCAACGGCATAGGCGCATAAGTTTAGGATATTTCTTTATTTGATGTTAAGTGTTTATTGATTAGAGCAATGTTCTTATTTGCGCGTATTATTTAGATAATATTGTATCTTTAGTTATTATTAATAATAAGATCATGAGTTCGCTTAGATAAAGGTGTCATATACTAATAAATTTATGACCCGTCCTCTCTTTTCTCCCTCAATTGCCGTGAGCGAAAGTGCCTCTCTGACCCGCGCATAAGAAAATAGTGGCAATGCGTTAATTTTGTCACAACATTTTTATTCGAACAATAAAGAAACCATTAATGATTGAGAATTAACTTACAATTAACAACCATTAAATAATTTTATAATTTATAAAAGACATTTTCTCCTTGAAACCGTCCAGCTTAAACAAGTTTTAATGTCCCTATCATTACATAAAAATGTTAGTAAAAACTATTATTTAATTTAATCCTATCATCTAGACAAAAAATCATAAAATACAATATATATTTGAATTCATCAACTACGCTATTCACTGATATATCTAAGGATTGAATCCAATTACGAGCCAAATTATTTCGAGCATAATATTAAGATTTAAATGTTTGTCAAAATAATATATAAATATAGGTAGTTATGATATATTTGTATAATTAATATATTAATGTCATCCATTTTAAAATCAATACATCGTTTTAAAATCATCAATGTTTCGATCAAAAATAAATTTTTTTAAAAAACAATTATATAGTGAATTTAAAAATCGGTTTTTCAATTCAAATGTAGTTTTATCAAATTGAACACAAACAATTCGAACTGACGAAAGATTAGTATTAGACTAAAACATAATTTTGAAAATATAAAATATTTAAAATATAAAATTATTATTATGTAACGGAGAATCTCGGATAGGCCGATTTCGTCCGTTTGGCTCTTGCAAATGTCCGTGTGCCGCGCCAAGCTGAGAGTGTGTGCGTGTGGTACACACACTCATGCTTGGATTTCTGTTTACAAGGTATTGTACACGGGCTGAGCTGACGGCTGGAGCCATAGAGATAGCGCAGAAGAAGCAGATAGAAAGAGAAAGAGAGAGAAAGAGAGAGAGAGAGAGAGACAGAAAGAGAAAAAGCGTTCGAATCGCGGTTGATCGCAGAAAATTCGAGAGAGTCTCTGCTAGGCTTTGGGCAGAGAAAGTCGTGCGCGTGGATTGAACCAAAGGTCACGGTTTTTCCGGAGTTGGCCCCGCGACCTCGTCGACGTCTTTTCGTTTTCAGTATTTCAGAAAGTAAATAACTTTATAACCAAAAGAACACTAGAAAATAATTCAGAACTAATGACGAAAGCTTATGTGTTTATTGCTCATGTTAAAACAGGCATAGAAATAATTAGAATTCATAATGTGTATAATTTTGATCAGAGTGGATTCTAACTGGAGATTTACTCCGGAAGAACGCTAGCAGTTGAAGGAAAAAAACAAGTACAGTGTTTGGTATAGACAGTTTCATCAACGACATAATTATACTACACAGTCACTTATATCAGCTGAAGGAAATTTACTGTTATCACTCTTTTTAATTTTGATGTAAGCTATCGGTGAGTTTGAATCCATTGTTGAAATCAATTTATTTAGGCCGATAAATCTACTTGTAGCATTTAAATCTGGAAAGATAACCACAGGTATATATATTTCCATCTATTAATAATTAACGTCATTATAAAAGAATTTACCAATAAGATTTTTAATTGTAGATCTCTTTAAAATATGGCTGAGGGAAGTATATTTCCCCAACGCAGGTTTCAATACCATGCTTTTACTTGACTCCTTGAGTGGTTATTGTGATAGAGTTGTAGAAGAGACGACACCAAGTAATAAAATTATAAATGTCAAAAAAAATACCGACTAGGACAACACGAAAAATTTAGCTACTTGATGTTTATGGATTTCGCACGTGGAAGAACATTGTTTGACAATTTTCAGATAATGTTACATCGACAAATTATGATTTAACTTTACATGAAAAAAATCACATTATTAAACTTCAGTTATTAGTCCATAATAATTAACTATCTTCACTAAGATATATCAATTTTTTCAATACTCCTGGTTCAAGAGTGCTGTTTATTTTGAGAATAGTTTGGATCCACGATTATATATTTTTCAATTTTCGTTGAATTATTTGAATTTTTTTTCATGATAATAGGCACAAAAAGATAGAAATTTCATTGAAATAAATAATTGTTACAACCCAACAGCCTCATTGATAAAACTACATGCATAAGTTATATATTTACACTAGAAGTAGTACGCAATTTAATTCAAAGTAAATTATCACATATAACTTGAATTATATCGTAAAATAGATTTTGGAGGTGGATTTTCCATTTTGAGGGAGGTTTGAAAAATAATCTCGAACAGGTAAAATTTATTTTAGCATATCCATGTTAATATATTTTCCAACTTTTTTTGGCTATTTTAAGTTTATTTTTGATAACATTAGTCATAAAAAGGTTTGAATGTTTATTAAAAAATATAAGGGTTGCATCCCTTTAAGTTGGAGGTATTAAAGGTGTTTGTTTCAACATGATTTTTTTATTTATTTTGTTTCAGGAGGAACTGTGTGGGGTATTGTTTGCTTTCCTTCATTCAAAAAGAATAAACTCTGCACTAATTTACACACACATTATTCGTTAGAAGAAAAAATAATGTAGTACTCATACAAAGTTAGGATTAGAAGTCATAACACTAATTACATTTCAATTTTCTGTTATAGTTTATTTTTTTAATCATGGAGGCTATCAACCCAGGAGCAAAAACATCCAACTATCTACCTACCAAGAGAGTAAAATACTTGGACACCCAAATACTTTACATCATGATTGCAATCAGGAAAGTGAAGACAACGTTTGGGAGAAAGTTGTTCACGAACTCGAATCAGAGTTCGATATATTTTTACCTTCAAGAATCAACAATTCACTTATGCAGAATCCTGAAAAGTATGCGAAATTACGAGCTGGGATTGAGAAGAGTAATATAAGACTAAAATATTTGTGGAATGTATTTTGGAATTTGTATGATTTTTTCATAAAAATTATATATGAATACTAATTAATAAAAAAATTCTTCTCAAATCAATGATATTGTACTAAATCTATGTTAAAGTCAGAACGTAACATAAGACTTATGCAGTTATGCAGATTCTTATCAGATAGTACTATTTTCTTTCCACCCATTATTCATCGCTCTCACACACGATGGCATAGGGCATGGGAAGGATCGGTAAAGCAGTATGGGAACTCTCATCGGGTCGCGACATACACGCCGAAGTCGATATGCGACCATCCCAAATACCATTATCACATGCTGATAAAATTTTCTTCGTACACTCGGAACTGATAAAAATGTCGGTAAAGCAAGATGAATTTTTTTATCGACTGCTGATATGGAAAAAAGTAGTTGCTTGGATGATAAATATCGGCCAGAATACACATAGCCCCTAATACTCACATGCAGTGTCAATTCAAGAACGTTTAGAGGGATTTAAAGATTTCTCTCTATTTTCATTTCCTTAAGTAGTCCTTACTATATCAAATATAAGGCTATTTTTCACGGATACGGAATTTTTTGTCTTCTATTATTTAGTAAAAACCAATATATTATATTTATTTATTGTTGTTAGTAGTTATTACTGTTCATCTCAATAATGAAACGAAAGTCTAATCACCAATCAATCAGTGCCATTTTCGATCAAATATTCTCAATCCACTCCCTTCAACTATCTCTACTTATGTAACCGCAACCTGATCTCGATTGACATGGAGAGTCCTTAAAGTATACCGTGTTCGTGAAAATTCCAGCTTCAAACTAATTTTTTTTATTTAAAGTATAAAAATTCTTAAGTGTGCTAGATTCACTTTATTTCCTTGTAATAAAGGTATTTCCAGAGCTATTATAAATTTACTAGTATTTATGAATGACACCATATAAGTATTTCCCGATATCCACTTGTTACCAATTTTTGTTTTTCTTTAAAAGCGTTCGAGGAAGAACTGACCATTTCTTTTGATACGGATCTGAGTAAACTAAAGATATGAATATTTAATAATGTCAATCTAAGTTTATTTGTTGAAATTATCCACATATAATTTGATTATATATATTATAACGACAGTAATAATTGTGAGTATAAGAATTGTTACCTTGGCGCAATATCTGATCCTTGTTGCATGAGGGATCCTATTGTAAACCACAGAGAATTCAGAAGTGTATATTCATTTTCCATCATGGGTGCTTGATTATTGATTGCATGAGAACTTTCCCATTCATATGGACTAAATCTAAAATAAATTAAAAAATTAATCAAATGCATATTTTTTTCTATTAAAGTTCAATCAAATTTTTCGTTATTATATATTTTTTATGTCTGTAATTTTGAAGATTCGCAAGTTCTATGCATCAAATTATGTAAATAATTTGCTAATATTTGATTAACTACTTCATTTCTAAAATAAAAGGAGACGACTATGCAAATAAGATGAGGACAAGCATCTTCGTAGATCTGATAATGGTTCATATCGGCTCACTGTAGCTATCAACGCAGCCTACTCATAGCCTGATCCGCTAATATTTCAATTCTTCTGTCGAAGAAATTTTTTCGACAGTTATGGGACTTAGTCTATAAGATCACGTGCGCTACGTACTGACTGATAAGTCATCGTAGAAAGTAGACGATAAAATAAAATAAAGAAACGCGAGTTAACATAATGACAGTTTAATAAAAATGGAAGAATGCATACTGTTTTTTATTATGCATTTATTCAAACCTCATCAAAGAATAATTACCGATTAAGAAGTAATCTTACTAGGAGACTTTGACATTCAAATCAACACGCCAATTAAATCAGTTTGAATAAAGAATAATAATAAGTGTTATAGTATTTATAATAATAATATAAAACTTATTACAAATAATTTATAATATTAAAATTATCTTATAATATTAAGATAATTACCCGGATGTGATAATATTTCTGTAAAAGAGATAAAAAGCTACCTGTAATAAGAATTATTATCAATGAATGCTTCCATCTATGCTATTTTCCTTCATAGTGAGTAGTAACAGAGAATGAAAAACCTATCCTAGATGATCAATTCGGTTTCAGGTGCTATCATTACGTGATTAAACAAGTAAACAGAATAGCAGCCGCTGCGAGGAAATCCAATCGAAATCCAATTGAAGGTTAACAGTCTTACTCTAACTTGGTTGAGCTCTTGACACGCTTCTCAACTATAGGAATAGTCACCTAACTTGATAATAGATTGTATGTAGGCTCTCACCATGGCAGTGTAGATTAATCCATAGTTGGCCGAGTGTACCTCAATGATACGTTAAGAAGCCACTGAGCGAAGACTCGAGAATATATACCAGATCATCTACTTCGAAATTGTTCCTGCAGCATGTTCACTTGCTTCGCTGCTCAAGAGTGTTCAGATACTTCTTGAACACTTCAGATACACTGCTGCCAAAACTTGGTATTCAGGTCCTTGACCAACTTCCAATATTAGATGTGCTTCAATTGCTTAACGTCGACTGCGATCTCGGAAACATTGAGCAGCAGGCTGCCGATGAGCAACTAGCTGGGTCTAATAGATTTTTACAGCTCATGAAAGTATTGCATCCAATTTTCGATAATATTTGATTTTCTCACTTGAAAACCTATGAAAATCTGTTTTTGTTTATTATAAAAAGTTAAATCCACTTTGAATCTTTATAAATTTGACTTTGAACGTGTTTTTCTGAATGACCAATGTATTGTAACGGGGTGAAACCGTTTAATTATTATATTCGCGCGATTACATTAAAAAGACACGCGAAATTGTCAATGCTCACTACTATTCCGGGAGAGCACGAGAAAGTATGCGTCAGTCAACCGATAATCGTTAATAACCTATACTAAATTGAGTGGAAGCTATGTGAGATGAGAGAATCAATGAAAACACTTGTTAGTAAGGTAAATCGGATCTTTTATTATTCCTCAAAATTCACAAAAGGTCGGCCCGCGCGTTTGTTTACATGCACGCTCGCTCGTCGACAACACGCTTTGCCGGTACGCTCGCTGCTCTTTGTTATTAGAGCCGTTACATGCACGCATTGAATGTTAGAATTAAATTGTTATTCGTATAATCGCGATCGCGAAATTAAGCTGGCCAGCTTACCTTATAATTGCATGCGATCGGAGAACAACACGAATACCTCGCACAGCACGGAACAGTTGTTTATCGTTTTTTTTTTATTGTTCGCGAGTCGCGAATGCGCGCACACACTGGTTTCGTCCTCGATGGCGAAACCTCATACACTCTCTCTCTTTCTCGTTCTGGCCTCTGGCTCGTAGCTGGATAGCTCCTTGGCGGCTGCAATCCCGGATCACTAATTACTGCTAATTTTCGAAGCGTGTAGATGTCAAGGGCACGTGAATTGGTGGAAACGATAGCGTAAGCGGACGGACACTATGATGGTCGATGCTTCACTGGTTCAAATTCGTTCGCGCGCGTTCCGTTTGCTCGCGTGCCGAATTCCTTCGTTACCTATTCTGTCCCCCCGGCAGGTGCTGCCCTCACAGGCAGCAATTATGCTAAATGGTCAGCGCTAATTTGACGTTTACCGTCACAGCCCCCTTCCAGTCTGAACCTATAGGGTTCTCGACGATAATTCCATTAACGCTACCTTTTCCGAGGAGGAGAAGAGGAAGGATAATAAAGGGTTGTAGTCCAAGTGATGTTAACTTATAATTTATTGGGCGGCAGGGCGACATGTCGGTGGCCCTGCCCACGGGGGCAGGGCATCATCACCCGGCTGGTCACGGTGGTAACTCCTGGCCCTGGTCGTCCAGCGGGGGTCGGCCGCGCGCCTCCCACCCCAGCCTCTCTTGGACCAGGTCGGCGAGTTGTCGCACGCGTGGGCAGCGGTCCGTGCGGGTCACCCCGGGGTAGTGGCATACGTTGCACCCTTCCCACTGGGCGCGGGAAAGGGTGCCCCGTGGGAGCCCTCGCTCTCTGGGGGTCAGAGGCAACCCGTTTCTACGGTTCGGGGCGGACCACAATGGTCTTTCGACCGTGGAGTCCGCACCCGCGGGGTCTAAAACCACATTAATGTGGATGGGCCCCGTTGCTTGACCGCCCTGGCTCCCGTCCACATTTACCACCAGGTTTACCCCGCACTTTTGCGGGCCCTGGTGCGAAGTACTCCCCGACCTGGTTCCCGGAGCGGTTGTCCTGGCTCCGATGATCGGAGACTGGGGGAGGCTGGTGGTATTGCCACTCGCCGGGCCCTCGATGGCCTGGCGGAGGCGCTGCTGTACCTCCCTTAGGGCCGACGCGAACTGGCGACGGCGGGACACCACTTTCTCCCAATGGTCAAGGTCATCCGGGTGGTGTCCCGCGGCTGTGTACGCATCGTATTCGGCGTACACAGCCCGCTGGAGGGCGTTGAGGGTCGTCCAGCCTCGCTCGACCTCCCTCAACCCCTCGACTATTTCCTCCCAGGTCCTTTTGCCAGAGGGTGGTGCCTGGCTCGGGAACCTGGGGGGCCAGGTCGCGTCGGGGGCACCCTCTTCCGTTTGGGTGCCCACTGATGCTGTCGGGGCCCTCATGGGGATGGGTCCCGTTGGGGGTCCAGACGGTGGCGCGGCGTCGTCACGCGTGATGCCGGGTGTTGTTGTCGGCGTCGTGGAGGTTTCCTCGATCGGGAGCTCTTCTATGAGCACAGATGACGAGCTCTCGTGAGCTCGCACCCGTGCTCGCTCCTCTTCCTCCTTCTTCTCGGCGAGCAGGTGGAGTGCGGCATGAACCACCCCCTCGACGGCGGGACCTAAGTCCAAGCCGACGAGGGCGGCTGCCGCTTGCTCGAACTGTTCGAGTGTAATCTGCATCCTGTAAATGTCCAGCGAGTTAGTATCTTGAAATAACTTTGGATATCGAAGGTGGGCGCCTGTTCGGCTGCCCAGGGCCTTCGTCGCCGGAGTCGAAGGTGGGGTCCTTGGCGTCGGTCTCCCAGGTCCTTCGTTCGCCGTGTATCATGCATCCACGGTTGTCGCTTTCGGTGGTCTGCCCCTCTTCCTCTTCACGATGATGGGAGGAGGGGCTCGTGTCGTTTGTCGATGTTGTGTAGTGTGTGTTGTTTGCGCGGACTTACGAGGTCTTCCTCGTGGGCGCTTCGTCGGGTTAGTAGGAGGGATATGTAGCGGGACTCGGCTGGGGGGATTACGGCGAGTACGGCGAGGTGAGTTCGGAATTGTCGCGTCGTCATTTCGGAGTGTATTATCTGAAGTGTTGGCGCTCCCGTTTCCGTGTACCGAAGTATCGCTCGCGTTAGGCGGGACGTTCATCGCCTCGGTTCCCTCGGCGGTAGCGGTCTCGTCGTCGTCTTGTGTTCGGGTCCCATTTTCCGGTATATCGTCATCTCGTCCATAATAGGGTTTAAGGTCCTTCGCATGGATTAGCTCCGTGACCTCCTCCTGTTGGTTGGCGGGGCGATATGAGTTGGCGCCGAGTACCTTTGTGACGATAAAGGGGCCGATGAATTTGGGTGCTAGTTTCGCGGAAATGCCCTGCGCAGCGCAGGACAGTATGCGATTCTTTTTCCACACCCAATCGCCTTCTTTAAACCTGTGGTCCCTGTGTTTAGCGTTGTAGTACTTAGACTGCCTCAGGGACTCATCCGAGGCGCTCTCGTGAGCTTGCTGAATGGCGGAACGGCTATTCTGCATGTGCTCGTTCCATTGCCCGATTCGAAGCAAACTCTCTTCTTGCTCGGCGAGCTCGTCCATCCGTTTCCGGAGAGTATTCGGGGCTCCCGGTTGTCTGCCGTAATTGAGCATGGCCGGACTAACCCCGGTGGAACTATGGACGGCCGTATTCAACGCGAACATGAGTTCGGGTAGCGCTCGGTCCCATTCCCTATGATTCCCCTGCAGATACGACGTTATCATCGTCTTCAAGGTACGGTTAACCCTTTCCGTAGGGTTAGCCTGCGGGGTATAAGTTGGGGTGAAGGTCCGTTTTATCCCCTGATCTCTCAGGTACCCATCCACCAACTGATTACGGAACTCGGTGCCGTTGTCGGACAAGAAGATCTTCGGCGTGCCGAAACGTAGGATTATTCGTTCCCTAAGTTCCTTCACGATCGTCTTGCCGTTAGCACTACGTATAGATATACATTCGATCCATCGTGTGAATACGTCGATGAATACCAGGACGTATTCGTGCCCTCGTGGGCTCTTCGGAAAGGGTCCGGCGATGTCGCCCACGACCACTTGCCAAGGCATAGACCATGTTCGTT